ACCTGCAAACACCCAGCCTCTGGCCCAGTCTGTCCTTGTCTCATTAGCTGAGCTGAAAACAACCACCAAACATCTTTGTTCAGGATTTCATGATGATCTGTTATTGGGGATTGAATGCTGCTGATTGGTATTTGGGAAATGTGACTGACTAGAGGAAAGAAGCCAGATAATCCAAAATCTCGGGGGCTGGCCCAGTCCCAGAGCGGCCATATGTTGTCATGTTTTTCTCTCTCACCTCCCTGCCTGTGCACGCTACAGTGAAATCCTATGTCTCAGCCCAAGCCACTGCAGTTAAGAGACCAGCTCTTTGTGTTGGAGATGTTCAGTAAGTGAGACACATAAACGCCTCACCTTTATTTCTGGTGTTTTAGTGGCGCATTAGGATTTGTGGCATGAATCTGAGTGCAACTGAATTATGTATTAGTCATAAAGAACTGGGTTATACAGAAAGGATGCAATAAAGACACCCATTCGATTTTTATGCAAGTCAGATAAATGGCCTGTATTTGTATAGCGCTTTACTTTGTCCCTATGGACCCCAAAGCCCTTTACACTACATTCAGTCATCCACCCATTCACACACTGGTGATGTCAAGCTATATTGTAGCCACAGCTGCCCCGGGGCAGACTGACAGAGGTGAGGCTGCCAGACACTGGTGCCACTGGGCCTCTGACCACCACCATTAGGCAATGGGTGAAGTGTCTTGCCCAAGGACAGACCGACCGAGACTATCGGAGCCAGGGCTCGAACCGGCAACCTTCCAATTACAAGATGAACTGCCAACTCTTGAGCCACACAAAGTCAGATAGCCGCACAAAATCATTCTGTATAACAATAGATTTCTAGTAAAGGTTCTAGGTTTGTAATCCAAAATGTACAGCAGGTAAAATTCTTTTTGCCAAAATCATTTATTTCTATTGGTTTATCAGTATGCAAATTGTGTCTTCTGCTTTACTGAAAAGTTTTTTCTCACTGGGTGTACCCTGGATGACTCATGTTACCGCTAAGGATGGAAACTGAGTTCCCAGTAGTTCAGTTCCTTGGAATTGTTAGTCTGCTTTCCTATCGATTCTGCTTATTGGTTCCACTTCAGTTGGTGTCCTGGAGGAGGAAAGTAGCGGTGCAGTCTACAGCATGAATATAGACATAACTTTTATTTTTATTGCACAAAAGGACGAGAGCACAATGGTAAAGTGCAAACTGCATACAGGACAGAAACCTTGTGCTGCTAAAAGAACTTCAGCTCTTTGCAGTTATCTGCACAGATAGCATGCTAAGCTAGCCAAGAACCCAGTGTGATGTTAAAGCTGAGTGTAGAGCCCAGCCCAACAGTCAGACCCTGAACTTCAACAGGCAACAAATTGATGAGCAGTCAGGCTCTAGCATTTTTCTCCCTGTTCATGTTTCTAAAGTAGAATCACTGTGGCGATCGCATTAAAGTCTCTCTGTGCTAGTTTTCATCTTTTTGCTTTGTGTTGTCAACTTTGTGTTCATACCTTAATACTGAAAGAAACGTCATGAGTGTGTCCTCATTAGAATAGGGGTTTGTGTTGGTATGTTGGCCTGTAGCCTATAGGTTTTTATTGTTAACTGGTAAATTAGGAGACAATGATTTTCATGTCATTTTACAGAGAATAGTGAAAGTAACATAATGAGTAGTAATACATCTTTTGACTTTTAAGTAATGACCCCAACACTAATCAGAGCCTCCAGCATGCACAAACATTTGACCGCACAGCATACAGTTATTTCCCACAAATGTGATGTCTTTGATGTGTTGGCTGCTGGTGGTGACTCTCAACCCAATGACAATTGACAGGAGAATCGATAAGGACACAAATCGATAAGTGATGTTGATAATGGAAATCTGAATCTCTAAATTCATATCAGTTCTTATCTAGTAAGAGTTTTACAACTCATGATGTGGTTGTTATAAACACTGTGCACTATAACAACAACGAAACGTTTTCCTGTTAGGCAGCTTTGGTAGAACGTGTGTAAACTGTGGCATGTGGTGTTAATGATATTCAAGCTGACAATGAGCCGTGACAGCAGAGTTAAAAAAATAGTCTAAAGTGATGTTGAATTCTGCATTTGAACATCCTTTTTATGTTCATCCTGGAGATGAAGAGAAACTGTTGAAATGTTCAGGAAACCGGCAGTCATATTGTAACTGATATTAAGCAAAGGACAGCAAAATGCTGCACAATGTAGTCTACAAAAAAAGGAAAACTAAAAAACTTATAAAGGCTGCATAAAATAATTAGACCTTTCAACTAGTCATCCCCAAACAGAATTTAATCTTCAGCTATCCTGTAATATTTAATGTGAAATTAGGTGTTCAGGAAGTCTCAAACCTGGATTGTATTTTTTCATTTTAGAGGGAGTGGTGTGGTGAGGGCTGGGCTATAGATTTATGTGAACTTTTGTTTTAAAATTACCTGCCATGCATTATTCACATAACTCACTTGTGGCACAAGAGGGCGTAGTGGGAAATCTGTATCTGTGCAAGTGTGCGTAGTTAAGCATAATTAAGAAGATATGAAGCAGAACGACAGTATAGGATTGCAGACTACTCTAGGGTGCTTTAAGGGAAAAACTCATTAGACATCAGACAGCTGAGATCCCTGTTGATGGATCAGGTAATGCTTGTCTTTCTCAACAGGTGCAAGTTAACTGTAATCACTTGTTAGAGTTATAAAATAGTTTTCTGTGAATAGGGTTTGAGAGTTCTAGTAAGTTATTTGATTGGTTTATCATACAGTAGCATTAATTTGATTTGGTTAACTTGTCTAAGCTGGAACTTTCACTCTGTTAGCAACAACTGGAGCTGAAATAAAGCTATTGTCATCACCCCGTTGGACAGGTGGACAAGGCAGGTGGAGTGGACATCTAAGTTTGTGAATGTAATAAGTCAAGAACAAAGATACGTAGGATTTTCAAATTGATACCATAGGTGCATCTACTAAAAACCTTGGATAAGTTTGAATGTCAGTGATCTTGACCTCATGGTCAGAGTATGCTTTCTGAAAATCTTGTGAATGCAAAAACTTGAAAACGGGACTACGTAAGATTTTGAAATTGGCAACTCAGGTGTGTTGCCAGTTGCCAGTAGTTTTTGTTATGTATTTCATTAAACTGGCTGTCATTTCCAATATTGCTCATAAAAGTTTCCACCTTAAGGGCACGGAAAATACCTTTGTAGGTCATCATTCATCTGTTTCGTGTTTAAAGAACATAAGTAGAAGGCAGCTGGAGTTTGTTCTAGGGATGTCATGATACCAGAAATTTAGAAGTTGGTACCAGTAGGATTATACAAGTCTCCATGCCCAATTCATTACCAAACCACAATTATTATCCTATGTACTGTACTTAAACAG